CTGCTCTGCCCCAGGTGTCCCCAAGAGCAGCTGGGGTGCTGCCGGGTTGGTCTTGCAGCGCAAAGGGGCGGCGCTACTGGACCAACCCAGCAGCACTGCCGCAGGTGTCCCCGATTCAGCTGCTGCTGAAACTGACCAGCAGCGGCTGAATCAGGGATGCCTGGGCCAGAGCTGGACTATCGGAAGGGGGGGCTATGAGGGGTCTGTGGTGGCATCCCCCACACACCATCCCAGACCCCTCATAGCCCCCTCTTCTGACAGTCCGACACCCCTTGGGTCCTAAAGGTGACGTATTATTGGAAGTTTACTGTATTAAGATTACTTTATTACTAATATATTGCACATAGAAGTTTATCTCCTCAGGAACTTTTCCTACTAGCTTCATTAGTAAATAGGGTGAAAAGTTTGAATAAAGAACAGATATAGTTCTTTCAAAGTCAACTGTTACAACTGAGCACTATCCAAAAAAAATGAAAACCTGCTAATCAACTCAAGAAAGTTTTGCAATACTAGTTTGGCTTTGGATGGATCAGTAAAACACTGCTAACTATAAGTTCCCAGATTCATCTGCAGAAATTAAAGGAAAACCCTCCCTAGCAACTCTTGGTTGGAGAAGCTCAACTACCGAGCAGTTGACATATAAAGGATGCCAAGGAAAGCAGTAAGTCAGATCTCCCTTTATGAGCAAGATAAGAGAGAAAGTGCAACAGTGGGAATTTCCTGTAATTTTTATGAAATCTACTTGTGCCTGAGTTTCCCTCTGCACTTCACAATGTAAAGTAAGTTCCTGCTCAGAGTGCATAGAAGGCATGAGGGTAGGAGTCTGGATGGAATGGACACTCTGGATGGAAGGGACAAAGTCATAAAAACAACTGGCTGAAACTGACCTTGAATCAGAAAAAACAGCAATACAAAGGCTTAAGTTTCTGGTTTCCAATGACTACACTATTAACACCAAACAGCAGAAAATCCTGAGGTGACAGACAGAGGGGAGGGGGACAGCAAGAGATTGAGTCTTTTGCAGCTTGGCTTGTTCATCATGGCACTGGTTTGACCAGGGTGAATTACAGCTTAACTTCTGCTTCTCTGTGCTAACCTAAGGACTTTTAACTTGTGCATGCCAGGTGGCTAGTTTCTTCATTTTGAAAGGCTGCCTATTTCACTGTAAATCAAGGATGGGGAACCTAAAGCCCGGCTGGATCCGGCCCCTGAAGCTCAGGGCTCCCCACCCAGCATTCGAGACATCTTACTGGCACTCCAGCCCCCTTGCTCTTCCCCCGTGGGGCTGAACCACACAAAAAAAATCTACCAGACAGAGGCCCCTAGGCTCTGATATGCAAGAGGAATGTGGGGAGTGTCTTTCCCCTTTTCAATTGGGGGCCATGTCAATGAGGGTTTGGGTTTTGGGGGGGCAGGGAGAAGAGAAGAGAAGGGGCACTTCTCAAATGTGTGGCCCAACTGAGTTTTCTTTGGGTTAGCAGCTCCAGATCCAAAAATGGTTCCCCAGCCCTACTATAAACAATGTGTCAGAAACCCTGATGCAGGATTCAGCCTTGATTGGATTTATTGCAGGGAGTCACAGAGACAGAGATAGCTGGCCTAGTCTTGAGTCCTGGAGACCACAAGCCTGTCCATGTGGAACTGCACAGGTCCTTGGAGCCCAGCACACAAAATGGACCCTCCCATGAGGCTGATTACAGACCAGCACCTGTGATTCCAGAACACAAGACTAACCCTTGGAAAAGACATAAGAAATAGGGATGCTAAAATGTTAATAATGTAACTGTGTAATCACTAAATATTCTTAGCTGTTACACGCTGCCAGCTCTGCAATATAAAGCTTATACTGAAGAGCCTACAGCTCCGCCAGCACCCCGGGAGCAGGATCAGCAGCCGGTGCACACCAGAACTGGCTCCCAGCCCAACTCCTAGGAAGCCGGCTGTGAGTTAGGGATGTAAGCGACTAGACTAGCAAAAGCTTATTGGATATTCGACACACACTAGCTGACTAGTTGCTTCCCCGCCTTTGCTGCTTCTATCACAAAGAGGCAGCAAAGGGGGAAGAAGAAAGGGTGCTGGAGGAAGCCAGCTCAAAAGCTGGTTCCCCCCAGCTACAGCTCCATGGGAGGGGACAGGGGCACAGAAGTGGAGGAAACCAGCTTAAAAGCTGGTTCCCCCCAGCTACAGCTCCATGGGAGGGGACAGGGGCAAAGAAGTGGCCAACTTTGAAATGCACAAGAGTCCCCGCTGGGAGCCTGGGGCCTCGTGGAGCCTGGGCCGGCTGGGAGACCCCCCAATGGTGGCTCTTATACATGTCAAAGAGGAAGCATAGCATGGCGCCTGGAACCCGTGCAAGATTCTGAAACCTGAAAACTGAACACTGGGGCTCTTGTGCATTTCAAAGTGGAAGCATTTACATGGAGCCCAGGGTCAGCAGGACTCCCCACAGGCCCCAGGCTTCACGCCATGTTCCAACTTAGAGATGCACAAGAGCCCTCGCTTGGGCTCTCGTGCATTTCAAAGGTAGAACACGGGAGTTCTTATCAACTAATCCAATAGTCGATGGAAATCCCATTGACTATTCAATTAATCAAAATTTAACATCCTACTGTGGGCTCTGTAGTATAAGTATTATATTAAAGAGCCCACTGCCCAATGCAACAGCTGGCTTTCTGGGAGCAAGACTGGCAGCCGGAGCCAGCATGTCCCAGCTCCCAGCGGCTAGCTCCATATCCAGGGAGCTGGCTGCTGCCCCACACTGCAGACTCTAATTCAGAGCTACCAGTGTGGAGCAGCAACCAGTTCCCTAGTAGCCGATGTGTGCTGGAAGCCGGCTTTTAAGCTGGCTTCTGGGGGAAACCGGCTTCTGCCTGCCAGATTCGCTCCTGGGAAGCCAACTGTTATCCTGCGCTGCTAATACAGAACTTAGTGTGTGGTGGCTACCAGCAACCTGGGAATGGGACTGATAATTGGCATGTAAATGGTTAACTAATAAGCATGAGCTTGTTTCTGTAAAACAGGGGCAGGGAACTTTTTTGGGGGGTCACGGGCCACTGACCCACAAAAAGTCAGGGGCCGCACAGAGGGATTAAGCAAAAACAAACAAAAAAACCTCACTGACGTGGTCCCCGACTGAGGAGAAAGACACTCCACACATTCCCCTCGCACACCAGACACTAGGGGGGACCAACCTAATAGATGGTGTATACTCCAGCTCGGTTGCAGAACAAAGCTGGAATGCCAGTGCAGGCTCCCCAATGTTGGGGGCCCCTAAGCCTCAGGGGCTGGATCCAGGCGAGCTGCATCCAGGCCCGAGGTTCCCCACCCTGGCCGTAAAGGTTAAATGGTTACACTCATACATCACAAATAAGAAAATCAAGTGATTCAAGTGGGAAGTACGGGGAGACCCTTATAAAGCTGTGGACAAACTTTTTTGAGACATAACGAGCAAAACGACTAGCAAATGAAAGTTTAGAACAACACTGAAGAGCAACAGTTGGCTGCCAAATTTAGCTAGAAACTTAGGCCATGTCTACAGCAGGAGTGCCAGTTATATTATTCTGCCAAAGTGCTCCTAGGACAGATGCGACTATTAAGGCAAAACTGCACTTGATTGGGTTGGCTGCATCTACACCAGGGACTTTTGTCAGTGCAGCTATGTTGGTCATGGACCACACCCTTGAGCAACATAACCGTGCTAGCTAGGGATGTAAACTGAGCCCTCCACACCACAGACAGGACCTACTCCAGCAGCCCCCTGCCCATGACAAGGCAGGCAGGTTAACAGTTAACATTTTAAATGGGATTTTACATCCCTAATGCTAGCAGAAGTCTGCAGTGTGCTCAAAGCCTTAGTTGTGTTAACTTAGGGACTACAGTTCTTGGATTAGGGAGGATGTATGCAGAACAGGTTCTTAAAATCTTACCCGCTTCTTAAAATCTTAAAAATGCAAACAGTGAGGGCATTTGGTTTTGTGATCAGGTTCTTAAAATCTTAAAAATGCAAACAGTGAGGGCATTTGGTTTTGTGATGTTTAGAAACATAGTACTTATGCAGCAAAAGAGTACTGTTTCAGCTTCCAGATGACCTCTCCATAACAAATTAAAATACCAAGATGACTTGTTTGTCCTAAGCCAGAATGGACACATTACTAGAACTGATAGCAGCAGCAGCCGACATCTCAGTATTTATATGGCTCTCACCACTTCAATATCAAAGCATTACTGTTCTAAAAAACTGATACCTACTGTTTCAATTCTCTTGTACTTTTACCAATTAAAGCAATTTTTTTCCCTTAGATGGTCATTTAAAATGTCAAGTTCTGAAAAATTGGTCAAATCAAGTCAATTTCCAAGGAGGCTCTCTTTGACGTATTTAAAAAAATTAAGCCCACTAATGTTCCTCTTACAGTGGGGGTATTGCTTTGCCCATTATAAAGGAAGTACAATATTAGTCAAATGAATCAGTGGAGATTACACCTTCTAGTTCAGGTTGTTCCCTTCTGTCAATGCAGCGTACAGTCATCCCTTCAGGAAAAGCAGGATTATCAATCTGCATGTACTTACTTTGTAGCCGTTTCAAGTCACATTTAATTTCTAGCTCTGAAAATTCCAAGTTTTACTTCAACTAGATTAAAGTTTTAATCACATTTACAATATTTGTGAGTTTCATCACCATGGCATCACCCAAGCTAAGATATGAACATACTAAAATAGCCTGCTGTAAAGTTCTTCAGAAAACCCAAGAGACCAGAGCAGCAGATACCCAGCTTTTATTTTACAACTCAAATGTGCTACAGAAAAATTAAAGTTTTCTGCATACATCCTCCCTAATCCAAGAACTGTAGTCTGCTCAATCAGACCAGAGTAATAACTAGTTAGAACTCTCTGGGCTTGTCTAGCACAGTGTTTTTCAACCTTTTTTTTATAAAATACCCCCTTTAAAAAAATACATAAGTACCCCCAATACCTACATTTTTCAGACACACCAATTCTTTTACTATTGCAACACATTTGTATAAACAACTTAATTGTAGCTGGGCAGGTGATGAAATTTTTGGGAGCAAAAATACAAAAATAATAAAGCACTGTAAAACTTAACTGAATTTTTGTTCTCTCCCCAAATTTCAGTTGTGAACCCTAAGGATAATCATACCACTGGTTGAGAAACACTGGTCTAGCAGCTTCTATGCTACTAAGTGAGAGACTGGAGTCTATTACCAGTCCTGACCTTTTAATACCTGCAAGAGAAGCAATGAGAAATCAGGAGAACTTTAACCATGTCACTCAGTAAAAAGTGTCTCTGTATGATTAGAAAGAAACACTGGCAGGCTTTAAGTCAATGACTAGATATTGCCCAGCAATGGAAGTAGATTTCATACTGTTTTGAGAGGGTAGAGAGAATCTCCTTAGTGAGCTGCAGGATAACTATAGAAGGAAATCTTGCCCAAACATATGATGGAAACCCAAGCACAAGTCTTCAATGGAAGGAAGCAAACAGGAAAAAGAGATGGGGGAAAATGAACTCCAAACAAAATGACAAAAACAACTAAGATGGTTTGTCTGAGTTGAAGAGAATATAGGGGGGATTCTAAGAACTCCTTGCTGGACATCTAGTGTAAGATTCCTCTTTAGCAGTCAATAACTTTATTCTATACCTGTCTTGCTGAGAAAACTCACCAAAAATAGAGCAAATGTAAATTTAATCACATTACTGTTATGTAATTAGGAATAAAATTGGAAAAATACATTTTGCTGAATCTTTCAAAATGTGCTCTTTGAACATAATTTAGATGCACTGTGGGAAGAATATCTACAAGTTTCTGAAGTGAGCCAAAGCAAACTGACTTTTCATCATGGCGGAGAAATCAGGAGCGACTGCTGTAAGAATAAAAGAAAGGGCAGGAGGCAAGGAAGAAAGGAAGGACAAAATGTGGTTAATGTTGAGGAACTACACTAAATTCTAATGCTAGATATGAAAGCTCTAAATGCTGGTGGGTCACCAATACTTTTGTGGGCCTTAAAAGGTAAGGCCCATGAAAACCAGGGATGTAAAGGGGTAGCCTGGGCAGGGGGCTGCTCAAGCCTGGTGAGCCACAGGCTGGGGGCTGCTTTGTGGTGAACTGGTTGAACAGTGTTAACTTTTTAAAATGACAGTTTATATCGCTAATGAAAACAACAAAAATGTTAGGCTGAGGGGACTGAATCCTCCTTCCCCATCACCATCATGTGAAACATACAAGAGTTATCTCTAAATGATTATTAGCTGCCCCTCTCCCACATGGAGACACTCTCCAATCCTACTCTAGTACACAGGCAAACAGCCACCCTCCCCCAACAACTAGAAGTGTCACCCAGCTGCACTTGTTCCTTAACCCCCTCTCACACAAGCATTCCAACAAGCTACCCTCCAACTATGCCTGATCCGCAGGCCTAACCTTTCCTCAGCCAACAAAACGCATTTTCCTGTCAAGTCAGATTCCCCTGCCTAAACATACACGGGGTCACAAATGCCCTCGCTACCAAACCTTTCAGCAGGGCCCCACCTCCTCCACATGTCGCAGCTCGGGAGACATTTTACAAGCAACCCCTTCCTCGCCCCTCCTCCCCCCGGCCGCCCGCCACCTGAACAACGGTTCCGTGGATGGAAAGCCTACAGAAAGAGCTACGGTTCGGTGCAGCCCCTGAAGCTCGGCTCCGAGGCCAGATAAAGCGGAGCAGGCCGCCCGCCCGGCATTGTTTATCTTCGCAGTCTCCTCCGCCCCCTCCTTCTTCCCGGACGCTAGGCCCCGCCAGCCCGCCATCACTCCGAGCCGCGGAATTGGCCCTTCAGCTTTCCTCATCCAGGGCAGCCCCTTACAGACACTTACACGGGCGGCCGCGACCCGGCTCAGCTGCAACAACAAGCGGAGAGCTTCATCCCCGGCCGCGAAGCAAGCGCCTCCTCCTCCAAGGGCGGGGCGCAGAACGCTGCAGCCGTCGCCACTAGTCCATTCCCCGCCTCTCCTAGGAGGGAGGTACCCACTTCCATGCGCCAGACAAAGGCGCTCAGCGGCTCATGCTATGCCCTCTTTCCTCCACGTCTTCGGAGATTAGCAGAGTCGCCCGCAGCCCCACTGGCTCCAGCTTCTTTACACCTGACTGTCCCCAAACCTCGTCCCACAGAGGATATGGGCTCACAGTTCCAAGGGCATCAAGCCTCCTCCAGCTCAAGACCAGTTTCCTTCCTAAGGTACCGGTTGAGGTTTCCCTCTTGAAGGGCCTGGATTCCTCTGCTCCGAAGATGATCAAAGGGCTTGGCTCCTGTGAGAGAGAATATGGTGCTCCAACCCACTTGCTTTCTTTGGCAGCAGCAGTAGCTGGGGGCAGGCCACACATCTCTCAATACTTTTAGTTTTTTCTAAGCCAGTTACTCAAGTGGATAACCAACAACATGTGCAATCAATAAGCCACCAGGTTGGCCCTTGGAATCCTCTATTTTCCACAGGTAATAACTAGCTTCTATAACCTACCATTCCTCAATAGATCTCAAAGCAATTTAAAATTAGGTGTATATCATCACTAGTTTATAGATATGGAAATGAGCAGTGAAGTGGACTGACCAAGGTCACATAACAGACCAATGGTAAGATTGGGAACAGAAACTAGGCCTCCTAGGTACCAGTGCATTATTGCTGAATTCTGATAATGAATCTCAGCATTTTATCTGCAGGAACCAGACCCAATGACTAGTAGTTATTGTAATAGTTAGATTTTAAAGAATTTGTCTACAATATTAATAGGCACAATAGACCAATTCTCTCTCAAAAATGGTTTTGTGCAGGTACTAACTGGAGGGCTACATCTAGACTGGCATGATTTTCCACAAATGCTTTTAATGGAAAAGTTTTTCCGTTAAAAGCATTTGCGGAAAAGAGCGTCTAGATTGGCATGGCACTTTTCCGCAAAAGCACTTTTTGCGGAAAAGCGTCAGTGCCATTCTAGACACGGTTTTGCGCAAGAAAGCCCCGATCGCCATTTTCGCCATCGGGGCTTTTTTGCGCAAAACAGTTTTCAGCTGTCTACATTGCCCTTTTGCACAAAAGCATTTCTGGAAAAGGGCTTTTGCCCGAACAGGAGTAGCATAGTATTTGCACAAGCAGCACTGATTTCAGACAATAGAAAGTCAGTGCTTTTGCGCAAAATCAAGCGGCCAGTGTAGACAGCTGGCAAGTTTTTCCGCAAAAGCACTGCTTTTGCAGAAAAACTTGCCAGTCTAGACACAGCCGAGGAGTTTAATCATAGAAATGTAGGACTCGATGGGGAATTTGACGGGTCATGTAACCCAATTCCCTGCACTGAGGCAGGATTAAATATTCTCTAGACTTGGATCCCCATCCACCCCCATTTAATCTGTTAACTGGTTAAATTTAACATTTAACTAGTTAAATGGAATTTTACATCCCTAATCTGAAGACACCTTTTTACTGTTACAGCTCTCTCAACAGCACACATTATCTTCTGCTGAATGTCTGTCATTCACTGTAACCAAGCTGCATAAGTAACTGTTTCTATGATATGTTGCTTCAAAACTCAATCTTAACTCCAAAGCAAGAACCCACAACTCATTTCAAGAGACTTCCTAGGCTGGATGGACAACCACTGCAAAATTGCCTCATTACACATGGTCTGGAGAGGGTTAAATTTAGATGTAAATATACTAAATTTTCTTGCAGCATACATCTATTTTCATTTTCCCTTGTGAGAAAACATCGTGAGGGATATTACACAAGTGCTGTTCATCCTACTCTGTACAATGCCTGCAAATATGATGCAAATCTTATCAATTTCATTCCACTATGGAAGGAAGACAGTCATTCAAATCCTTAAGGATGCAACAAGACTTGTAGTAGGACCTCAATTCCCTCAAGACTTTATAAAAATGTATAAACCAAAATCATTGTACATCACTAGTTTCACTGTTAATTTTTAACGTACTATTCTATAAAGCTATGAACACAGGAAATTCACAGTTGAAGAACTACCTTAAATCACCACCATTAAAGATTCCCCTAAATAGGGCGAATCAGAAGCACACTGCAACCATATCTGTTAGCAATGTAAGCAAGTAGTTGACTACTCGTATTCCCCCCTCTCCACTGCCTCGGATACAAAGGCAGCTGGGGGGAGGGGAGGGAAGGGAAGCAGGAGCCAGTTCCCCCAACACCATCTCTGTGGTGCTGCCTGCCCCACACCCCATCCTGCTACCTCTGGGACCCCCCTGAGGATGGAGACTGCTGGACCCAGCACGAGCCAGGACTGAGCAAGCATGACTCAGTCCCAGCTCACATTGGGTCTGGAAAGCTACCACCCTGCGGTGGCTCTGCAGTTTAAATGTAGTAAGAGCTGGCACTCAGGCAGTCCGACTCCTACTGGGGGTAGGTCCCAGACCTGTCATGAGCCAGAACTGAGCTTCCTCTCTTAGCAATTAATTATGTAGTCCATAGAAATTCTACACGATTAGCTAATTACTTGCTTCCTAACATCTGTAGTATCTTTCCATAATATACACTTTTAGAAGTGTATGGTCTTTTAAAATATTACCATAATTTTGAGCACCATAACCATATATGATGGTACCACTATAATCATGAATCAAAAAGGTATTACAAATTCTTACACAAGAGCCAATTATTCTCCACTTTTCAATACAAGACCAAATCCTAAAATACTCCACACCTCAAAAGATTAAGGGCTGTTTTTCCATCCAATTGTTCAACTCCATCTTCTCCACTCTAGGCACACAACTAGCACATTCTCTTAAACACATGACAAGCCTGGACTACAAAGCTATACCATATAAATAGCAAAAGTTAGCATGAAAATAAATCACTTTTAAAATATGAGACAATACATAGGAAAAAAGTTAAGGTTCTATGGAGTACATACTTATTCCAACAAAAAGGAAAGATGGGATTCTTGAATCTCTACAGGCAAGAGCTTCTTCTCCGATTATCCATACTTCAGAAATCTAGCTCTTCAAGTTTAACCTGAATGGTGTGTGCATGCACAAACCTCTCACACAGAGAAATGTTCATATTGGAACTCCCATATACCGATCAAGACGTCCCATCTTCTTAAGAATTCTCACCAATAAATTACTAATTGCAAGTTTAAGTTCCTCTGTTTAGAGCCACATTAGCATAATGAACTTTTACTAGCATTTTCCTCTATATAGCATGTTCTTTGAATTAGGAATGGAAGACTTGAACAGGTTAACAGATAAGCTGACATATCAGTTACCTGACCCAGTTAAACTCTTCAGGGGCTGCCATGGCTTCCTGGGGAGCCTCGGTTAAATGTGTAACAACAGAAATGTTATCAGTCATAAGGGCTAATTTTTTTAATTTTTTACTTTGAATGCAAGTGTTTTAATTTCATTGCAACTCCATCTGTTTTTGAAAGAACATTTGCAAGTTTTAAATAAACTCAAAACCAAATGTGGAAAGAGAAAGAATGTGGATGAAGAGAGAGAGAGGTAGGAAAATTAGATCACCTTTTGAATTCATAAGGTCAGCTGCTCCAGTGTTGGAGCTATGGATGTAAGTGAGTAGTTGAACTGAGTTTCACTCAGTGCATGTGGAAGGAGAGAGCCTGGGACTGGCAAGGACCTGGGATGAGCCACCTCCTCCTGGGGCAGCTCCGCTCTGTCCATCCCACATGCTGGGCTGGCACCTCTCTCCTGGGAGCCCGGCTCACGCACAGCTGACTGGAAAGCAGCCAGGGCTGCCCAGCACTGGGCCAGGAGCAGAGAATTGAACCTGGGCAGATGGAGCACAGTGGGCAGGCAGGCAGAGCGCAGTGTTCAGGCAAGCTTTACACTCCCAGGCTGGGCTCAGGGACATGCAGGCTCACCACACTGACTGGGCTGGTGGGCGGGTCTCCTGTGGCAAGCCACGCCGATGTTAACCTTTAAGATGCCACAGGACTCCTTGTTATTTTGATCTAGATCACTAGAATCCAAGAGACATCTTAACCCAAGTATGAAGGGCTGAAAAGTTCCAAGAGTTATGTTTCAGAACAGAACTCTTTTCAAGACACCCATTCTTTCTAAATCACTTCTGGATGCAGGACTTGATAAGTATCATATAAACTGTTTTCCACCCAGTTTGTCCTGATCTAAATTCTACAGAGAAAAAACTCAAGTGATCGTTCTTGCAAATACGTTGTTAGGAAGTCTGTCAGGTGCTAATGAAGCTCAACAGGCTGGGGTATCTGAATGTGCACTGTGACCCAAAAGGACGTTTTATGCTGCCAGGTAACAACAGCCTGAAGCACGGGGCACTCTGAACTAAGGTGTAAAGTGCTAACTAAGCCCTGCATTGAACGTCCCGGAAAGTACAGGGGCTGGAGCCCACACGCTTTCAAACACAGCTATTTCCATTCGCTCCGCTAGCACAGAGGTGCGAGGACGGGAACCCGGCGACTTCAGACCTGGGACGACGCTTAGTCCCACCTAGCGTTGGCCAGCAACAAACCTGGGTGCCTCACTTGCCCCACGGGCGCCGTCTGGGCGGACTCGCTCTACAGCTTCTCCGAGGAGGAGACGCTGCCCGGCCAAGGCGCGTAGGTGACAGCTCGGCACCCCCGCTGCCGCAGCGCCGACGGTTGGCAGGGCCCGAGCTCTGGCTCACGGGAGAATCCCAAGGGAACGGGCTGGTTCTTCCCGCGGCACCTCACAGGGTGGAGGGACCCAGAGACCTCGCGCAGGGCCCACCGCCCGCAGAACGTTAAACTGCCCCCTGACTTCACAACACGCCCGCCCCACAGCCCCCGGGGGCGGAGAAAGGAAACGCCACCCCCAGCGGCAGACTCGTGACACAGGCGGCGAGGCCCCAGGCACATAAGTCCTGGGGACACTCACCTGAGCCGGGGCGGCGAAGCCCGGGCTGCTCCTCAGCGGGGTTTGAAATCACTAACGCCCCCCGCACTTCGCAGTGTCCAGCGCACCCATTGGTCGCTGAGGCTCCGCCCATGCCTTCAACTTGACACCTGATTGGGTAGTTTGAACCGGCATCGTCACGTACCGTCCGGTTCATTAAAGGGGAAGCTCAGGGCACGCCGCGTCACTGCGCCCGGCGTAGGGAGCCTGTTCTGCCTGTGCTCGCGGGAGCTGGCGCGGGTTGCAGGCCGCGCCCTGCTAGGGAACCGGACCCAACGTCAGCGGGGCTGCGCCGTGCTGATAGGCGGAGCAGGGGCCGTGCGCTGCGCGGGAAACGCAACGGGCGACAGTGGTGAAATAGAACTCTGTGGCGCGCGCATAATTGTCCTGTGGCGCTCGCGGCCAGGAAAAGCCTCAGGCGCTTAGTCCCCCGAGATTTTGAGCGGTTCCACGGTTAACTTTTTAACGGACTTTTTACCCGTCTAGCCAACCTGCGAGGAAGACTTGTAGCTGCAGAAGCCAGAACTTTCCCAGGAGATGGACGAAGACCGGGGTTTATTACTCACGTCAGTGGGAACGGCCCCTGAGCTTGCTGCAGATGGAGCTAAATACAGAGAGGGCTGGTCTACTAGAGCAGGCCATAAGAGGGAAATTCAGACTGGGCTGGGTAGCCTGAGTCCTACTTTTTGAATGTTGCAGTGGCTCTTGCATCTGGCTACAAGTGCTCCAATTTGTAAAACCAGTTATTTCCACTATCAAGACCAAGAGCCAGGCCCTATTGAAACTTCTTTCCTAACCTGGCAGGGCTTGGGAACTATGCACAGAATGCACCTCGTTCCTGGAAAGGGTGGGACGATAGATCTGCCTAAGGAGGCTTGAAAGATCCACTACTCTTTGACAAAAGGGTGGGTTTTAACCTCATTTTCTCCCCAAAACTTCTCAAACCTCAGTGTCCTTACGTTTTGTATGTGTCATATAAAAACCAATATAAACCAACCTTTTTGCTGGTGGCAGCCAGTGTCCTTACGTTTTGTATATGTCATATATAAACCAACCTTTTTGCTGGTGGCAGGGTTGGAAAGAGGGGCTTTTCTTTTTGTATTTACTTTTCAGGAGAGATATTCAGGTGTCAGTACCAACCACAGTATAAATTCCTAGACAGTTGTCAACAGAGCTGTGTTTATACTGCACACAGCAGTGTGACGTACCAGCATCTGAGGCCTTATCTCTTGTCTCATGTGGAGCCTAATATTGTAAACAAGAAGTGAATTCGTGATGGCTTCCTGAACACTTTCCAATGCATTGCAGTATTCCAGACATCCTAGTTAATGCAAATAGTTATGGTAGGAGTTTAAATATTCCTAAGTGAAGAAATGCAACAGATAATGTTCCATGCTAACTAATTCCCTCACATGTTTATGTGGTCACATTTTATTCTTACAGCCATCCTTGGACTGCCACTCCTATTAGTCTAGGTTCTACTGTACACATCAGAGGATATTAGAGCAGCATATACTTCAGTAGTAGTCAAGCCTGTTTAATAAGACCTTATGATATACTACTATGCAATGTGACAAGTTAACATTATGATGCGAGCCTTCTGTATTGTGACTTCTTACTGTTCAAAGCTATAACCCTAAGATTAAATTGACAACTTTTGCATTTCCCTATTTGTTTTGTTTTAAGAAAATAGAAATGTAAAATGAAGAAATAGAATCCATTTTGTCCTGTAGATCTAATTGCATGACAAATGATACATACATACCTCTGCAGTCTCTCCAGGACAAATCCAAACTCTTAAACAGTTCACATTATGGGAACTTACAGAGAAAATAAAATCTCTTAGAGGAGAACCCAAGATATTAAGGATTGAAACTCTATGAATGCTTTGTAGAGGATCAAGCACACAAACATGGAATCAGAATAGAAAGTAATTTGTTATTAACATAGTAAAAGGGAATTTAATATGTTGCAGTTATTCAACCTTTTATCCATAAATTAAACTTTTCCTCCACAATGTTTAAAGAAAATGAATCCTACTGGACTAGGCTCCCTCACTGTCCCGTTCATGTATTTTGGCATTTTATGGCAGTCCCAACTCAGGCTGTTCATCACATCACTAATTTTGTTATGCGGTTGGTGGCTTCTGCTATACTCTTTCTAGGATACTTTCTGTCAGTACCTTAAGAATATTTCACTCCCTCTCCTTTTAGGACTCCTGAAGTAATTCCTCCATCTTTGACAAGAGGTTCTCTTGGCGCTCTCATTCTGAAAATCTAAGTATACTATATCTGCTTGCTCTCATTCTGAAAATCTAAGTATAACTATATCTGCTGTATCCTCTTTATGCATATGTGTGTTGACCCCCTCAAAGAACTCTAGTAGATTAGTAAGGCATGATTTCCCTTTACAGGAACTATGTTGACTTTCCCCCCCCAACAAATTATATTCATTTATGTTTCTGACAATTCTGTTCTTTACTATAGTTTCAACCAATCTGCTCAGTTCTGAAGTTAATTGCCAAGATCATTTCTAGAGCTCTTTTTAAAAATTGGCATCACATTAACTATCCTCCAGTCATTTGGTATAAATTATTTAAAGACTAGGTTACAAACCAGTTAGTAATTCTGCAATTTCACATTTGAGTTTTTTCAGAACCCTTGGGTGAATGCCATCTGGTCCTGGTCACTTGTTACTGTTTAGCTAATCAATTTGTTCCAAAACCTCCTCTGACACCTTAATCTGGGACAATTCCTCAGATTTGTCACCCTAAAAGAATGCTTCAAGTGTAGGAATCTCTTAGCCTCAGCCTTAAGACAGGTGCAAAAAATTAATTTAGTTTCTCTGCAATTACCTTAGTATCTTTGCATGCTCCTGTAACATCTCAATCGTCCAGTGGCCTCAATGGTTGTTTAGCAGGCTTCCTGCTTCTGATGTACTTAGAAATATTGCTATTAGTTTTTGAGTTTTTGGCTAGCTATTCTTCAAATTCCTTTTTGGCCTTCCTAATTTATTTTTATACTTCATTTGACAGAATTTATGCTCCTTTTTATTTTCCTCACTAGAAGCTAACTTCCATTTTTTAAAAACAATGCCTTTTTATCTCCCACTGCTTCATTTACTTGTTTAAGCCATAGTGGCACTTTTTTTGTTCTCCTGCTGTATTTTTTAATTTGGGGTACACATTTAAGTTTTGCCTCTATTATGGTGTCTTTGAAAAGGTTCCATGAATCTTTCACAGATTTTACTTTGGCACTGTACTTAAATTCTGGTTACCTAACCACCTCATTTTTGTGACATGCACCTTTCTGAAATTAAATGCTACAGTGCTGGGCTGCTGTGTTTTTTCTGCTACAGGGATGTTAAATTAAATTATATTATGATCACTACAACTCTACTACTACATACCCCCTACCACCAAGAATGACTTTAAAGCATCATACTTCATTAAGCAAATGCATGAATGATGAGATGATTCTTGCAGCAGCTGTAGAAAATAGGGATGTAAGCGACTATCGGATAAGCAAAAATTTATCAGATAGTCGAAATACTAGTCGGCTAGTCACTCCCCTGCTTGCTGCATCTATCAGAAAGAGGAAGCAAGGGGTGAGTAGAAGGGGAGTTCTGAGAGGAGCCAGCTTAAGAGCCAGTTCCCCCAGCTCCGTGGGACAGGGTAGAGGCACAGTGGCAGTGTTCCATCTCTGAAATGTGCAAGAGTCCCTGCTGGGGTTCTTGTACATTTCAAAGCGGAAGGGCCGCATGGAGCCTGATGCTGGCCCCATGCTCCATGCAGTGTTTCAATCTTTGAAATGCCTGTACATTTCAAAGGTGGAACTCAGCGCTGCACTTCCACCTTTGAAATGTGCCAAAAGCTAGGCTGGCTCTTGCTACATTTCAAAGCGGAAGTACCTTGATTGACTAATTGAATAGTCGATGGAAATTCCACCAACTATTTGATTAGCTGATTAATCTAATTTTAACATCCCTAGTAGAAAAGGCAACACCATCCAAATATGGTTCACAACAATTTGGTCACAAAGACTATGCCTCTAGCCCTTGGTGCCATGTCAAACTGAGTGAATGCAGGTGAGCTAACTGCAATTGAACCACAGCTGTTTCTTTCTTGGTAGTGGGACTTTCTCAACCTTTGCTGCTGAAGAATGTGTGTGTGTCAGCCAGCTGGATTATCCATAGAACACTTCTATTTTCAACCTATCATTCCGTTCAATCACAATACTCAGAAGAGATAACGTTCTATGCAAATAGGGCAAAGAGCACTGCATCTTCCAGAGGGAGCCAGTATAACATGCATGATTCACTACCCAAAAACAAGCAGAGTGATTAAGAAAAGCTAAATTTATATTAAATTATCAACACCTAAAATACTGAACATAGTGGTTAAATAACACCAGGAAGTTCAATCTCTCCAGTGAGTAATGTTAAAATCATTACACAGGAATGCAGGGAAATCACTGCCATTAGCTCAGGACAGACAGGAGAGAGAAGTTTGCTTTTTACATAGTAAATCAGTGCTCAAGAGATCATTCCCCAGTTCTGGTCTTTCTACATTCTGTACAGCCTTCATACAAATAAGGCCTTTTCTTCCCTAGCATTGGGAAACACAATGCACCCCCGAGGCAGCATCTCATAAGGACTGTTTGCTCACATTGTGGAATCTTATGTCTGTTCACATCAGTAGTGAAACTAAAGTCTGTAGGAGATTTCACTGCTCCATCTTCCCCGTGTAGCAGACATATGACCTCTGTTAGGGCTGGAGGAAAAGGGAATGGGAAAGTTCTAGAGGGCAGCTGTCTGAATGATCTTGTAGCTGGAATGTACAGGTTTTCTTCCAAGAGTAGGAATGTGCATAATTTCAGGCAGAGTTTGAATACCAGCAGCTGTTAGTCTGATTGGACATTCCCTTCTATTCTGCATTCTCAGCTCAAGCAGCTATTATTTCCATAGGTCCAGTGACTGCCCACGACGGGTAATGGGTTGATGTTTTTAGTCCCTCTTCTCCACCCTGCTTCTAGTGTCCTCCCTAACCCCTACAAACAGGGTCCCTCGGAAGTGGGGTCTTCCTCCTACACTCGAGCCCTGGCTCTTGCCACTGTGTGAAGCAGCCTGGCTTGCCCAAGTCTATGTTAGTGAGATGGCAACGCTCTAGTTCCTGCTGCTTTCTCCCCACTGAATCCAGGCCTTGAGGCCTTATTCCCAAAGTGCCTCAGCAGCTAGTACTACACAAAGCAATGATGACAGCTGGACCAAAAACTCTCAGCCTGCAGCCAATCAAATAAATTAAAATAGAATTTTAAAATATCTCAGGGAGCAGAGAAAAGTCCCATATTAACATGCAAATTCCTAAGCCAGAGCCCTAACTCACTTTCCACATCAGTACAGACCAGCCAAACCTAATGTTGCAGGTTATAGGTGGAGTCTCAGATTGGCTTGCAAATTTAAGATGAACCATCCCTATATCTCTGGAGGTAAGTAATATTGCCAGCCTGCTGATAACTGACACTTTCTCTGAGCAGCACCAGGACTTCTGGGATTTGAGTAAGGCTATACAGGAACAGGAATAGGAAGGATTCTCCTCTGTTCACTAGATGGAAAAAAATTGTATGGGTATCCCAGCCATGTCACCAAACCGTACAGCACCCCTAACACCAGTTGTGTCTTCCCTTCATGATGGATGGGAATGCACATTGCCTCTCCATAGCAGAAGAAAAGGCTGGGAATGTTGCAGGGGATCCCATCTTGGGACAGTTCTGTTTCCAAACACTTGGCTTGGAATTTTATTTTTTACCTTAAACAAAATTCCTATGAAAGAAAGATGAGGACTAACGCCTCTTTTGGAAGGGGGGAGAGGGAGGCTTCTTTCCCTTACATGTGGCAAGCCAGGAGAATATTAAAAAAGGGCTGTGAGCACAGAGGGAGTTAAAGGTTCAAATGCTGCAAGGGATGTCTCTCTTTAATTAGATGTGTGGGTTCTCCACTCTCTGCCTTCCCTGCTCTCCCCTTCCCTCCTAAAAATGGGGATTTTCAGAAACTAGTTCAAATGCAGTTTGCCTGTGGGTTTCCATAAGCCCTATTCCAGATTGGTGCCTATTGCCCATGTTATGCCTCAACACCCAGGCCCAAACACTCCCAAAGTTATCAGGCCCCAGTAGGAAAGCAACCATGCACTGGGTATGGGAGCCAAGTATAAGAGAAAGGCCTCATAGCCTGCAGAGCAGATTATAATTGGGTCCTCATACAGCTCAAGGGAAGAACATAGACCTCTGCAAGAAGAATTATTTGCCAGTTAAAAAAATGCAGTTTAAGGCACAGCTCTAGCTGACATGTGACTACTCAAAAATGGTCCCTACAGCACCATGGTCATTTTTTCTGATTCCATGTCAAATGGGCCCAGTTTACTAAAAGACCATTTTCCCGAATAATCCCATTTCAAACATCACTAGTAATAAAAGGTTCTACTGGCCACAGACCCTCAGTAACACCTAGTCAGCCCCATGGCCTTCCATAAGTTTGCACAAGTGAAGCTGGCTGGCCTTCCAAGTGAAACCTATAAACCAGTTTTGCTGATGCTGTAAAAGGAGGAATAGACTCCAGACTCTCTCCCTCCGAGCTGCGTTTCCTCTCAGTAGGCCTGTGGAGCTAAGAGTAGTAAAAATACATTCTGCTCCCAGAAATGGCAGCTTTAACTCCAATGTACACTGAAAGCAGTGAGGAGAGTCCTATCTGCATTCAGTTACTGTTCAAAGTGAGTGATAGCAACAAGATGAATAGGAGCAGTGTCCATTGCCAGCAACAGACATACTAATACTCCAGCACTAGGCTTCATCACTCCTGTAGAGTTGTGCCAGAAGGTGAGGAAAGTGGCAGTGAGATTGTAATGACATCAATCACAAGGAACAGCAGCTGCACTTGTTCTCCTTATCCCTTTAGAAGTGATCTGCTGCTACACTGCTCTGCTTTCTGCTCTGAATCCCACCTTCGGTTCCCCAAAGTAGAGACAGCAGAGATGGCCTCTGAATGAATAAGGGGTAAGAGGTGCTGAGCCTGATCAGTAGCTGGCAATGGAGGAGCTCTGTTCTCCCAGAGGCATGAATTGTGAACTGGACAGTGCAGGACTTGCAGATTGCCAGAGGGGACAGAATCTGAACCAGAGGAGTCACTGCAGAAGTTACCATGGCAGTTTCCAGGAAAAGGGGACATATAAATAAACCACAAAACAGTGAGCATGAGCCAAAAGGATTCTGGGGTCCATTCCCCCTGCCATGAGGGCACAGTCTGGCCCCAGCTCCTTGCCAAAAGGCAGTCAATCTCTGGGCTTCTCCCTGCATGGTAGAACAAGTCCTGTCTCATTCATATGAAGCAGGGGCTGGGGAAGAGCTGGGCAACTCCAAGATAGTGCATGCTTTAGACCTCACTCTCTATAGAGGGCTTGCATTGATGTTTCCAGCCTGTGTCTGGGAGTGAGCCACGCCGTTCTGGGGTGGCTGCTGCCGTGTTGATACTACTGCACTCAGACTGCTCCTCCTGCAGCAGCTGCTCAGTTTCGGTGTCATCCAGTGAGCCAGAACTGGCCTGGATAGAGACAGTGTCTGTCTTCATGCAAACATGGTCCCGGAGTATCCCTCCCCGGGAGCTCCGTATCTGCTTGAGGTCATCCCACTCAGACTCATCACCAGATAAGAGGCAGATCCCTTCCACAATCTTGATCTTTTCCTTGGTGTAGCTATGATCGTGCCCAGCCTAAGAGAGAGATAACAGAATGAAAATACCCACAGAGCATAAGTCACTTCTAGCTAAGGAACAAAGCAGAGGCTGGAATGAGGACAGGCAAAGAAGCAAGCAAAGGGGTGGCCCTCAATGGAAGCAGTAACAGATGACTGCAATCACAGCAGCAGAGTCCATTCTAGACTTCCCTTCACAATGCACCCCAAGTCCCCCCATCCTCCAAAGGAACACCCATTCCAAGTTCCAGGCTCCTTCAATCCATGGAAAAAGGTGAGAGAAGATGACTCTTTTGCTTCACTGGGGCAAATGGAGCCAATGCCATTTGGGGGCAGGAATAAAACCAGAGCCAAAGCCTGAACAGGAACAAGAAACCTGGGAAGCAGGAACAGCCAAGAGAGACTCAAGGGCAAGAGTAGGCAGGGAATCAGGTAGGAGTTTGCAGTGGGATAGGCCACTAAAATGTTAATCAGTTTGAGAGCTTCATATGAAGAGGCTTTCTATCCCAGAACAGGGTGGAGCTAGTTGCCCTCTATATACATCTTGAGACAGGTCACTGGGGCTACTGTGTTGGGTTTGAGTCCCTCTCAGTAGTTAGAATAGTGGAAGGAAGTATACAGAAGAAGATCAACAGAAATAGTCAGAGTCTAAAGACAGATTTATGAGCGCAGATTAAAAGTGTGAATTCTGTCTATGTCAGCTCAATGATGTCTAAAGAAGCATAGACATCTGCTAGGTGTTTTTAAAACTCTCAGAGGAGAGGAGAATTACATGTGAGACATATTTGGATGTATCTGAACAAAGGGACAAAGGAAAAAGGGAGAGTTAAGAGTGACTCTAGGGGAAACTATTCTGACAGTGAGGTATTGGAGGTTGTGAAATAGATGAAAGGTTGAGGGATCTATATCTTGGAGTACTAAAAATTGTCTTGTATGGAACAATCCTATTCTGGCCACCTGGGAAAGGAAGTCAGTGGTGTAACAGGCCTTGTGCATCTCCAAGGCATACAAGAATAATATAACAAACACCCGCAGAAAAATTATTTTCTTTAAGTAGCATAAACTGCAGACCCTTAACCATACAACCAAAGGACCTGTGGTAGAAAATGCTCTCTGCATCCTCAGCACAGGGAGGTAGTTGAGCTAGTTCAAAGGCACACACAAGGACACATAGAAAAGCCAGCCAAGCAACAGTTAATACATGACAATGTTAGAGCCTTTCCGTGCTGCAGGAGGGAAGGAAGTGGGGGGTCACTCACACGTACACACAGAGCAGTGATACCTGACATAAGGATGTGAGCGAAAATCAGAAGAAGAAAGATGAGAAGCTATCAGGAGGATAAGAAAGTTGCTGAGGAGGAAACAAAGAGGAGAAACTGAGTGCTATACAATAAACTAGAAACAGTCCTATATGAGGCCCATACCAATGCCCAGTCATTAGAGATATAAAATTTGGTATAATCAGTTAACTGGTTGAATGTTATGTTTAACTGGTTGACCACATAAGGGTAGAGGGTGCCCCACCCCACCTGGGCTGGAGAAGCCACTCCTGCCTGCCACGGCTGGGGGGGGGGCGACCCATCGTGGGCAGGGACTGCTCAATCGGGGCTGGAGTGCCCCAGCCCACGGCATTGCTCCATCCAGGCTGGACTCTCCGCAGGCAGGGGCTGCTCTGGCCAAACTGGCGCACCCTGCCACCCGTAGGTGGGGGACTGGTTAAACATAACTGATAAGCATCATCCGATAAGGGTGATGTTTACAGGTTTACCTGTTAACATTTACATCCCTACTAGTCATCAAGGTTTTCAGTTGTTCTCTCCACCCTGCCCTTCCACATGGTGCATAGACAAGAGCTACATCCTTTCTAGCCAGCCTCTTCCTGGTGCCTCGTTTCCTCCATTGACTGCCCAGGGCAGTGTTAGGGTAAGTGGGGAAGGACAGGGCTTAGCCAAGGAACGTGGGTCCAAAGGTCCAATTTTTACTTTTAGAACCAATAGCTTGGTGACCAGCAACTCTGTAAAAGGAACACAGGAGTCTGCAGTAATGCAGAGGAATGTTGGAGCCTAAAGCAGGTCTGTGCAAATGGGAAATGAGGAACTGGGAGATGCTGCTAGTTAAACTCTATGGGTATGTCTACACTGCCACCCTAGTTCGAACTAGGGTGGCAGTGTAGACATACCCTATGAGTCTTGTTTGGCAACTTACTTCAGCTGCTCTCACCCATCCCATGGATCTTCCTAGGACAGATGGTGGAGAGCTTGGAATGGGCATGTTTTTGGCACCTGCCAAGAACCAAGCACAATTCACTCACACTATTACATAGATTTGTAATGTTAGGACAGTTTGAGTTGGTCCCTGAGGCCTCTAACAGCAGCTCTTACCTCCTTCTTATAGCACAGCTGATTGTACAAGGTCAGCTTAGGAATAGTTTCGATCTTCACTTCCTGGGTAGATGTCCTGTATGATGGATTACTGTAAGTCAGGTTCCCCAAGCCAGGGTCTGTGAACTTAGACTTCTTGTGTCTGTAGAAGGAGAAATCAGGAGAAGGAGGTAAATGAACAAATAACAGAACCATCCAAAACACATGATCTGGTAGTAAAGGGAAACTTTAACTACCCAGATATTTGTTGGTAAGGTAATACAAAATGTCCAGTAAGTTCTTGGAATGTATTGGGGAAAACATCTTGTTTCAGAAGATGAAAGCAGTAACTAGGGGGACAGCTAGTTTAGACTTGATTCTAACTAACAGGAAGCAATTGGTTGCTAATCTGAAGGTGTAACACTACTTGGTTGAAAGTGATCATAAAATAACAGACTTCAAAAGTATGGCTACATTGCGGGCTAAAGTTGAATTGAGATATGCACTTCAGCTACATTAATTGTGTAACTGAAGTTGAAGTACCTTAACTTGGCTTTTGGCAATGTCTACACTGCAGGAAGCCAAATGAAGAACACTCTTCCTTCGACTTCCCTTACCTTGTGAAATGAAGGTTACAGAAGTCAGAGTAAGAAGCCCATCATTTCAAAATTACTTTGAAATAACGGGCTTGCTGTATAGACGCGCACTCTGTTATTTCGAAATAACCATGCTGTGTAGCCATGCCCCATGATTCTAAGGAAAGGAAGAAGTGAAAGCAGTGTAATAAAGATGATGGACTTCAAATATCTGCCTTTAACCAACTCAGAGAACTTGTTAAGTAAGAGAAAAAGCTCAGGAGAGCTAGTAGTTTCTCAGAGAGACGATATTAAAGGAGCAATAGCAAACTATCTCAATGGTAAGAAAAAATAGGAAAACTAGTAAGAGGATAGTAGGGCCTTTTAATGACCAGAAAATCAAAAAGGAAACCTAAAAAAAGTGGAAACATGAACAAATTGACAAGGAAGAGAACAAAAGAACAGCACAGGCATGTAGGGACATAGTCAGAAAGGCAAAGACGCAAAATGAGTTACACCTAGCAAGTGACATCACAGGCAATTAGATTATATCAATACTAAGAGCAAGAAAAGGCAAATTAAAGTATAGGGCCTCTACTTAGTAGTGAAGAAGACCTAACAACAGACAGCTCGGAAAAGCTGACGTATTTAATGCTTACTTTACTTCAGTTTTCACCAAAAAGGTTAATTGTGATCAGATGCTTAATAAAATTAATTTAACCACAAGGGGGAAGCAACACAAGCTAAAATAGAGAAAGAACAGTAAGAGAACATTTAGATTAGTGGAATGTATTCAAGTTGGCCAGTTTTTATGGAATTCACACTAGTGTTCTTAAGGACCTAGCTGAAACAATCTCCGAACTGTTAGAGATGATCTTTGAAAACTGATGGAGGATAGATGAGGTCCCTGACAACTGGAGAAGGAAAAACATAGCAATATCTTTGAAAACTGATGGAGGATAGATCCCAGACAACTGGAGAAGGAAAAACATAGCAACTATATTTTAAAAGGAAAAAACACAGAGCACCTGGAGAATTATAGATCAGTCAGTCTAACCTGGATACCTGGAAAGTTACTAGAGCAAATTATTGAACTAGCTATTTGGTTTCCCACCCATGTCCTTTAATGGCCCACAGACTACATTCAACCCTTTGCTATTTTCATCCAGCCCACAGGCTACACATGTTCAGTTTACCTGGCCAGGCTTGGGACTTCCCATCCATAGAGCTGGAGCCATGATTACTGGATTGCCGCACCATAGGGGGAAGGCCCAAGTGACCGTATCCCCTCTGGGACTGGAGATGCAAGCACTTGCTTGCTCCACTACAGGCGGGAAGCCCGGAGCATCTGCGCCTCCCCCTACCCCCAAAGACAGGTGAGTTGAACATGTGTTGCCCACCACTGATTTTTTCAGTGGATCAATGGCCCCGATACAAAAAAGATTCCCCACCCCTGCCATAGGAGATAACAGGGTTAAAAGGAATAGTTAACATGGATTTGTCAAGAACTAATCATGCCAAACTAACCTAATTTCCTTTTAGACAAGACTGGTTTAGTGATTAGAGAGGAAGCAATACTCATTATATATCTTGATTATTGTAAGGTTTTTGAAACAGTCCCACATGATAGTCCCATCAGCAAAAAATTTTTTTAAAAAAATAGAAATGTGATTAAATGACTATATGGTGTACAACTTGAAAGACTATACTCAAATCGTAGCTATCAATAGTTCACACTCAGACTAGGGGGACATATGAGGGTAAGGAAGTTTTGTCCTGGGCCCAGTACTATTCAATATCTTAATTAGTAACTCTTATAATGGAAAAACTTAAAAAACAACAAATAGTCTAGTAGCACATTAAAGACTAACAAAATATGTAGATGGTATCATGAGTTTTCATGGGAAAACCCACTCTGAATCTTATAATGGAGTAGAGCAGTGGTCTCCAACCTTTTTACACCCAAGATCACTTTTTAAATGACAGAACAAGCCAAGATCTACCGCCCCGCCCCTTCCTTGAAGCGCTGCTGAAGGGAGACAGAGCAAGGAAGAGTACTCTCTCCTCACTGTAGCTCTGGAGCAGCCTGCATCCCAAACCCCTCATAGCCATCCCCACCCCAGAGCCTGGACCCCCCCAGAGCCCTCACTTCCCCACTCTCTGCCCCAACCATTAACACCCTCCCACAGTCCAAAATGAATCAGCCCTACCCCACCAAGTGAATTTCATTATGTGCACGTAACAAAATGAATTCCACACATGCATGGGAAAAAAATGAGGGAACACTGGTGGGCACTCCCAGGATCTATGGAGTTAGGTCCAGAGAAATGGCTTGCATCTGGGTAGAAGGGTGTACATGAAGAGGCAAAGGAAGCTCTTGTTATAATGCCCCTTTCCTAAACACTCCCCTGCCCCAGCTTACCTCCATTCCCAGCTGCAGCCTGCCCTGCCGTGCATGGCTCCATCCTCACCCACAAGATGTCTGGCTGCTCTGAGCAGTGACATGCTAACTCTGTGTCTTTGTGCCCTTCAGCTGCTCTGATAAAGATGCTGGCCAAGGCCTGTGCATCCGGAAGAATGAGGCAGTAGTAGCCACCACAGGTGAGTTCTTCCTTACCCTCGGCTAGCCGAACCTTTCTTTGAGCTCATGTCAGGGGCCTATCACTCCAAGCTGTTCAAACATGACCTTCCTCAATCTCATTCTGAGCAGGACAAGGAGAGTCCCAAGGATGAATATCAGTCATGCTTTCTTTCAGCCCCACACAGGGCCCTCCCTGTGGCCAGAGGAGAAGATTTTAGTTGAAGGACACCAGAGTTCCCCAACTCCTACAGTCATCACTCAGGTGGAACAAGCTGAGCTCCTATAGACTGCTTTCCTTTTCTAGTCTGGTTGGTAGGGAAGACTGACTCTGTAGCAGGGGGTAACTTGGGAGCAGAAGGGGGTTAATTCACCCCTATCTTTGAGAAATAATCTCTTCCCTACTTCAGAGACCTTCTCTAGATCACTTAGGGGCGGAGAATGGTTTCAAGCTGTGCCAATCTCCATTCTAGTGTTGGTCTGCTAACACCCAGTACATAGAGGTGTTTACCCATGCACACACAGCTACACTAGTTTTGACTATAGTCCAGTAGCACAGAAAGGTCCTCCTCTTATCCTTGCTGTGTTTTTGTTTTTCAGGTGAAGGGATACATGTCAGCTACATTATTGGAGGCCTCCTCAGTGTCTTGGTCATTCTGTTGTTTATTGCTGCTTTAATTATATACAGGTATCTGACTCCCTACTTCCCGTCTTGTCCCTTTCCCTGTTGCTGGTGAATGGGAGTCTTGGTTGAAAGCCAGAAGTTTCCACAAAGGTCACTGTGGCTACAAGTATGTCATTGTCTGGAAACAGTCATAACAGCAATTACCAAAATCTCGGGATGGCCGGGCAGCTGCTTCTCTTCCTTCCAGCCCGGCTGCCCTGCGCTCAGCCCAGGAAGGCTGCGCCTAGCTCCAGCTGTGAAAGCCAGTCAGCTGGCTGGGGTGTTTCAGCCCTCCCGACCTCCCAGCTCCCACCATTTCTCACAGCTACTCACCTGTGTTGTTGCTCAGTGAGTAGCTGCTCCTCAAATGAGGAAATCTAATGTAAATGTACCGCGCAGGTGCGCAGTTCAGAGAGGGCTCAAGAGCTACTCTTAGAGCCCGAGATCTACCAGTAGCTCACGATCTACTGGTTGGTGACCACGGGAGTAGAGAGTATGCTTGAAAAATCTGAGGATGACACTAAGCAAGGAAGGGTTGCAAGCATTTTGGAGGACAAGATTCAAATTCAAGTTCAGATTGTGACAAACTGGACTGAAATCAACAAGATGAAATCCAGTAAAACCAGTACAAAATCTTACATTTAGGAAGGAAAAAATTAAATGCACAACTACAAAATGGGGATAGTACTGCTGAAAAAGACTGGGGTGGTTATAGTGGATCACTAATTGAATACAAGCTAATAACGTGATACACTGCAGAAAACCCTAATATTACTGGATCCAGCCCACAGAGCACCCTGCTGGGATCCTCAGGAATACAGCTGCCTTGGTTTAAAGTACAGTCCCTATGTTTCTCTGCTCTCCGGGTGGGAGAGGGGACGACGAGGACATGGGACGAAAGACACTTGATGTGATCTCCCCACCCCCAGCTCAATGCTCAGCTCCTATTGGCCAGAAACAACTGGCCTATAAGAACTAACCTCAGCAAGTCTCTCGGCTCCGATTGGCTGGAAACATCTGCCTTCCCCCCACATCCCAACTCCCTCCCCCAGGTCACAACCAAACCCTCTGCCCCTCCCTGCCCCAGGTCATAAGCCCCTCCTTCACTCAAACACTCTCTCAGATCCCACACTGTCTCTTACACCCCAGTCCCTTTACCCTGTGTGCCCTTCTGTGCCCAGCCTCCATCCTAGAGCCTGCATCTGCTCCATAGAAAAGTGCGGCCCTTGACCACTTACCAAAATCTCGGAAATGGCCTCTCACCTAAAATTATTGCCCTCCCCTGTTCTGGAGTGTATTAACAGGAGTGTCATGTGTAGTACATGGAGGTAATAGGCACTGGTGAGGCCTCATCTGGAGTTGTGTCCAATTTTGGGTGCTGCACTTTAAGAAATTGGCAAAACTGGAGAGTATGCAGAGGACAGCAGCAAAAATGTTTACAAAACCTGACCAAGGAAAAGTTTCAAGAACTAGGTATGTTTACCCTTCACAAAAGAAAACTTAGTGGGGCATCTGATAATCTTAAAATATGATAGGGGCTTTTATAAAGAGGACTCTGCGGCTATATATACACAGCAGTGTTATTTTGAAATAACATTGTCTGTGTCTACACAGCAAACAGTTATTTCAACATAATGTTGAAATAATGTTGAGCTGGGGGATTTCATACTCCAACTCCTGTAACCCTCATTTTACGAGGATTAAGGAAAGTCAGAGGAAGAATGCTCTAATTCGAACTTCCTGCTGTGTAGACCTCGCCAAAAGCTGAAATAAGCTATTTCAACTTAAGCTACGCAATTGACGTAGCTCAAGATGAGTAGCTTATTTTGGCTTTAGCCCGGATATGCAGACATGCCCTGACTGATTTTCTCCATGCTCACTGAGGGTAGATGAAGAAATAACCAGTTCAATCTGCAGCAAGGAAGACTTGAGTTAAAAGTTTGAAAAAAACTTTCTAACCATAAAAACAGTTAAGCTCTGGAATAAGTTAACAAAGGATGTGAATCCCCATCACTGGAGTTTGTTTAACTTGTTCTTAAAAACCGCCTGTCACAGACTGTTTAGATTCATTGGCCCTGCCTCAGCACAAAGGACTGGACTAGATGACCTGGAGGTCCCTTCCAACCCTATATTTCTATGATTTTGTTAGTAGAGAGAGATAGGTCCCATTGCCAAAAGATCCCATTCTACAGACAAGGCCCCAACCCAGTGAGCAGGAGGCTTTTTTCAGGCTGGAGGAGAGCATGTTTCATCAAGTACAAGCGTTCCCTTCTGTTGCCTGTACAACCACCATGCACCGGTGCCATGCAGTCAAGTTGTCTCTTGCTTATATCAATACAAGGAAGAGGTGATTCCACTGAAGGCAATGGAGTCATATTAGTGTAAAACCCCTGAGAACAGAATCAGATCCATAGACTTTACAGAGACAGAGATCGGGAGAAGGAAACAAGTCCTCCTTGGATGAGGGTCAAGCCTTGGAAGAGCTTGTGGGAGCAGCTGGCTGAAAGCATTTGGAATTCACAGATTTACTAGACCAGGAATTCTCAACCTGGGGTGTCTAAAGGGGTTGACAGGGCTGGAGTTAGACATTATGGGACCTGGGTGCAAGCACCACTGCCTGGGGCGGAAGTCAAAGCCAGAGGGCTTTAGCCCTGGGTGGCAGGGCTCGGGTTACAAGAATATGACCTGGGGCCGAAGACCCTTGGGTCGACTTTGCCACCTCCCTCCTGGGGTAATATGGCTTAGGCTTTGGCCCCCCAACTTGCACAGTAGTACTCAGTTGGGCTCAAGATTTGATCCTCTGTCCTGAGATCATGTAGTAATTTTTTGTTGTCAGAAGGGCATCACGGTTCAATGACGTTTGGGTACCCCTGTACTAGATGAGGTCGAATGCCAGGATGACACAAACTCCATCTCACTCCTACATGATTTTCCAGACTTTCTATAAAATAGAGCCAAACAGGATTTTGGAGAGGGGGGAGAGGGAGAGCTGGATGCATGTGCAGGGGGTTGCTCTTCCCACATTCTCTTTACAGGGAGAAAGAGAACATTAGGGCTTCCCAACAGCTCAGTCTGCTCCCCAAGGTCCACATGAGACAGGGGTCTCTGTAAAGAAAATGAAATTGCTGTTATGACTGTTTCCAGACAATGACATACTTGTAGCCACAGTGACCTTTGTGGAAACTTCTGGATTTCAACCAAGACTCCCATTCACCAGCAACAGGGAAAGGGACAAGACGGGAAGTAGGGAGTCAGATACCTGTATATAATTAAAGCAGCAATAAACAGCAGAATGACCAAGACACTGAGGAGGCCTCCAATAATGTAGCTGACATGTATCCCTTCACCTGAAAAACAAAAACACAGCAAGGATAAGAGGAGGACCTTTCTGTGCTACTGGACTATAGTCAAAACTAGTGTAGCTGTGTGTGCATGGGTAAACACCTCTATGTACTGGGTGTTAGCAGACCAACACTAGAATGGAGATTGGCACAGCTTGAAACCATTCTCCGCCCCTAAGTGATCTAGAGAAGGTCTCTGAAGTGGGGAAGAGATTATTTCTCAAAGATAGGGGTGAATTAACCCCCTTCTGCTCCCAAGTTACCCCCTGCTACAGAGTCAGTCTTCCCTACCAACCAGACTAGAAAAGGAAAGCAGTCTATAGGAGCTCAGCTTGTTCCACCTGAGTGATGACTGTAGGAGTTGGGGAACTCTGGTGTCCTTCAACTAAAATCTTCTCCTCTGGCCACAGGGAGGGCCCTGTGTGGGGCTGAAAGAAAGCATGACTGATATTCATCCTTGGGACTCTCCTTGTCCTGCTCAGAATGAGATTGAGGAAGGTCATGTTTGAACAGCTTGGAGTGATAGGCCCCTGACATGAGCTCAAAGAAAGGTTCGGCTAGCCGAGGGTAAGGAAGAACTCACCTGTGGTGGCTACTACTGCCTCATTCTTCCGGATGCACAGGCCTTGGCCAGCATCTTTATCAGAGCAGCTGAAGGGCACAAAGACACAGAGTTAGCATGTCACTGCTCAGAGCAGCCAGACATCTTGTGGGTGAGGATGGAGCCATGCACGGCAGGGCAGGCTGCAGCTGGGAATGGAGGTAAGCTGGGGCAGGGGAGTGTTTAGGAAAGGGGCATTATAACAAGAGCTTCCTTTGCCTCTTCATGTACACCCTTCTACCCAGATGCAAGCCATTTCTCTGGACCTAACTCCATAGATCCTGGGAGTGCCCACCAGTGTTCCCTCATTTTTTTCCCATGCATGTGTGGAATTCATTTTGTTACGTGCACATAATGAAATTCACTTGGTGGGGTAGGGCTGATTCATTTTGGACTGTGGGAGGGTGTTAATGGTTGGGGCAGAGAGTGGGGAAGTGAGGGCTCTGGGGGGGTCCAGGCTCTGGGGTGGGGATGGCTATGAGGGGTTTGGGATGCAGGCTGCTCCAGAGCTACAGTGAGGAGAGAGTACTCTTCCTTGCTCTGTCTCCCTTCAGCAGCACCCAGGCTGCAAGTGGGGAGAAGTATCTCCCTCCAATGTAGCAGCTCTGGGGCTGGGGCCATGGGATAACCACAGTAAGTCCAGGGCTGGGGGAGACATCTCTCCCCACCACAGCCCTGAGCAATGCTTAATAGGCTGGAGCACAGACACATAGCTTACAGGGAACTTAGGTGCCCAAACTCTTCTGTCTCACTACAAGTCAAGTTGGAATGTCCAGGCAGCTTGTGCACAGGACACATTCAAAAACAGGCATTAGCACTGAGCAGTCACTCTTCCTCTTCCCTCTGCAGGGAGGCTACATAATGCTAAATGCATAGGAAGAGAACAGGAGAAAAGTCAGCCTTGCAGAGAAAAACTTTTCTATGGGAATTTGTATTCCCAGCAAAGAGAAAGAGGTATATGACTTTGCTTGGAGTTAACACTCCAGCATGCAATGGAAGAGCACTCACTGCTGGGCAGGGAGAGAAATGGGCCACAGAAGAATGGCAGAAGGGGCCAAGGGAGAATACAGAACATACTTTCTATGCACTGAATCATAAAAGTGAGACCCACAGGCACCTTGTTTGATCCCATCCCAGTGATCTCTTCAGGGTCTGGTTTTAAAATGATCAAAGCAAAGCATCCCCTCTTCCCACCAGAAACCATTTCCCAAGTTGAGAATTCAGCACAGGGTACCAGTCGGCAGGGCCAAAAAGACTCCTGCACTTTGCATAGCCAACCAGACTAGCAAGCACATTGGAATGAAGTGGGCAATGAGGTCTATGCAGCCCATGCTAACTCCAGAGAGTACTGGCCAGTCCTGCGTGGATACAATAATGTGGATCTGCAGCTGAAAGAACCAACTTGTATCCCACCTATGAGCTGGATTCTGCATTACATCTTTTATCTGCATCTGCATCCACAGCAGCAGGCTCTTCCACAGTACCTCTTAGGAGGGGCATCTGTGTGTGCCTGTATACTGTATGTAGGATCTCAAAGGCATGGAAGCAGCTGTCTGCAGCCAGCCTTCTCACCTTCCAGATCCTATATTCCACTCCCCTCCCAGCCAGTACGGAGACCAAAAGGGGAGGAGACAGATCAAGAAGCAGCTGTCTACTGCTCATATTGGTTCCTGACTTACTTTGCTGAAGCAGCTGCCTCCATCTCCAAATGATCTGATATGGCAATGAAATGGGGAGTTTCTAAACTGTTTGGCTGCTTAAACAGTGTCAACAGGACCCTGGGGATTTTGCTGACTGTCTTAAGCTGTCACACCCCCTTCCTCTGAATGGAGGATAAAGGGGAGGGAATATAGGATCTGGAAGACAGGGAAGTAACCTCATAGGCTATGAGCTTTCCTGAACTTTGAGATCCCATATTGAGAGTCAAAATTTGTATCCGCATCCAATCTGTAAAAATGATCCTCAGATATCCATGGATTTGAAGGGCTCTAGTAAGGAACATCCAATCTGTAAAAATGATCCTCAAATATCCATGGATTTGAAGGGCTCTAGTAAGGACCTCTGCCTTCAGACAGGGTCTCCTGTAGCTATTTACAGAGTGTCTAGGGCTCAGAGGGTCTCACTCCACCTTTGGGAGATGTGACAGGGTGATGGAAGGTGGAGGGGACATGCACATCCTGCTTTTAACTTCTCAAGTCCAGACTGCAAGATGCAAAGTCACTCACTTTCCTTCCATTGCTTCTAGGGATGTGTGGGGTTTGGTCGTTGAGGAGCCTGATCTGCCAGGTGATGTCTGGCTCCTCTGACTCACACTGGTTGCTTCAGGAACAGGGGGCACCATGCCAGGAACTAAACAACACAGACAGAAAAATACACAGGAGTCTCTGAGACAGGCGGAGAGGTCTCTGAGACAGGCTAGACCACAGATCACTTCTTAAATAAGGAGACGAAGAATTCGTGTACAGAGCTCAGATAGCCCAGGCCCATCCTCTCTAGCACGAAGCAACATAAGAAAGGTATTTGATCGTATAGGACACTTTCTGTAGGAACTTTTGTAGGCTGTGGAGACCTCCCAGATAACTCTATTCCTCAACAGAAAATGGTAAAGGACAAGGTGGGAGTGCTGGCCGTGGTTTATCTGTGAATGCAGTTACCCCAGAGAACCTCTCTGAACTCACCAGTGGAGCAGGGTCGTCCATCTGGTTCATCTGGACATGCACAAACAAAGTCAGAAACCCTGGCAAAGCAGAGATGGGTGCAGCCTCCATTATTCACTCCACAGGCATTTGTACCTGAGGGAGACAACCAAGGCATTAAACCTGGAGCAGGTGAGGTATTGATGGAGTTCAGTACACAAGGGCAGGAGTTCCAGTATATTTGTTCCAGTATATTTTCCTCTCTGTTCCCCTTTTTAAAGATATATTATATTTGCCTTCTCCTGTCCTTTGGGATCTCCCCTTCCTACATGAGTTCTCAAAAATAATTGCTGACACTTTCCAATTGCTTCAGCTAGTTCCTTAAGGACATTAGAATGAGTTTCATGAGGTCCAGCCAACTTGAATATATCGGACTTATTTAGATGTTCTTTAACCTGACCTTTCTCTATTTTGTCTTCTGTTCCCTTCCTCCATGTTGTTCATATTCATTGTATGAAGCACTTGGTCATAATTAAATCTTTTAGTGGACACTGAAGCAAAATAGGGATTAAACACCTCAGCCTTCTTTGCACTGTCTGATATTTGCTTTCCTTCCCTGATAAGTAGAGGCTACACTTTCCTTCATTTTTCTTGTGCTCCTAACCTCTTCTTATTGCCTTTTATGTCTCTTGTTAGATGTAACACTTCCATAGCCTTTCTAGTTTGATTCCTACATGCTTGTGCTGTTGTTTTGTGTTCATCCTTAGCAATTTATCCATGTTTCCACTTTTTCTAGGTTTCTTTTTTGATTATGTCATTAAAAAAACTATTTAAGGAGCCATATCGGCCTTTTACTATTGGGATCTTTCCTTCACATCACAGTAGACACTATTAAAGGAACAACAGCAAACTCTTTGAGAAACTATCATCTGTCCTGAACTCCTTTTTGTCTTCCTATTGAACTTGACTTATTAGTTCTCTGAGTTGACTGGAATATGGCTTTTTTATGACATTCATCATCTTTATTCAGCTGCTCTCACTCCTCCTTTCCTTAGGCTCATGAATTCTATCATTTTATGGTCACTTTCTTTCCAGTTACATTCTTTCTTCAGATATACAACCAATTCCCCCATTAGTAAGACTCAAGCCTCAACAGGTGGTCCCTCTGGTTACTTCCTCTATTTTCTGAAACAAGAAGGTGTCCCCAAAAACATTCCAGGAGATTACTGATAATTTTGTGTTACTTTTTTGACCAGATATTAGGGTAATTCAAGTGATCTATAGAAGTGATCACTGATTTTGTGATCTATAGAAGTCTCCTACCATGACATTACCCCTGTTCTTCCCCTTCTTATCTTTACTCAGAGACTTTCACCAGGCCTTCCTCTCTGGACTTCAGAATAAGAATACATATTCTGGATGTACAATGAACTCCTATTCTATTTTTTTCCCTGCCTGCCCATCCTGAATGAAGGAAGACAAGCAGTTATAAGGAAATTGTAACGGAGGCTTCCTCAGCTGAAGTCTCAGAGAGGCAGAGAATGTGCCCCAATGAGGCTGAGGGAAGGGTCGCATTTTGTAGGGCACACAGAGGGGGGTTGGTGGAGGGCAGGGGCTCTTGAGTGAAACTCTGCACTTATTAAACATGTCCAACGGTCCTGACAGGCTGAGGGTACCTGCAGCCTGCATGGCTCCAACTAGCAGATTCAGCAGTTAGGATCATCCCACGTACCTGTCTGCCTCTGCGGGGAGACTACAATTATATCCATTAGCCCCTCAACATTGGCCAGCACAGTTTCCTTGTTCCGGCCTGAGTATTTGTCCACTCGCTGGATAGATTTGGTTTGCCAGTCAGTCCAGTAGATCCATCTGTCCTGCTGCTCAGAGGGAAAAGTCAAAGGCATTAGAGCACTTGGCCACACATATACAGGAACTGCACTGAAGAGTATTCATGGGCCCGAGGGCTCCATGAATCTAGGTAAACTAGAGAGTTGCCTAGGGCGTTGCTGGCCCGGGCGCCCTATGATGATGTCACAGGGCGCCAGGGCACCCTGTGATTATGTCACGGCCATTGACGGCCGTGCAGGCGGGGCGGCCGCGTGCGGCTTTCTGCCTCGGGCCCCTCTGCCTGGGGCACCAGCTGCCGCAGCCAGCCTCAGGCTACTCCTTGCTCCAGCCACAGCCCACTCCCAGCCTAACCTCCCTCTTCTCAATGCCAAGCAGGAGCTTCCTTCATCCCCGCTAGCCACTTAGCCAAACTCTTCCTCTAGGAAGAGCCTTAGGTAAATCCCAAACCAGAGAGGCACACACCAGATCCCCCACTATCCCACATATACCCCAGCAATCTCTGCTGTCCCCCGGAAGCCTGGCTACACAGCAGTCACTGCATCGCCACTACCCGCACGCTCCTCTGTACCTGTGTCAGAGCAAAGGGGTGTGACACCTGGCTGACCAGCACCTGGCGTAGTTTCCCATTGAGATCAGCACTCTCTATACGGTCAAGATGTGCATCCACCCAGTAAATCCTGTAGGGACAGGGAAGAGAGGTGAGACCAAGCCCCCCCTGCCGATCTTCCACCCATCACACTCTTCACTCCTGGGTCACTCACTAGCCCAGGATGCCTCAGGAAAACACTTCAGAGGATCGAGCTAAAAGGCTAAGGAGCAGTACGTATCTTACTTAGTTCTCCTAGGTATGACAGCCTCACTCCCACTCTTGCACTGACCTTCTAGTATCATAGTCTAATGTCAGTCCATTGGGCCAGCCCAGGTCAGTGTTGATTAGGATTTTGCGCTCGGAGCCATCCAAGTTTGCCCGCTCAATTTTAGCAACATGACCCCAGTCCGTCCAGAAGAGGTACCTGAACAGAGACAGGGCAGATACAAGAGACAGGAAAGGCGGCGGAGGGGCAGGGATAAAACACTAAATTATTAAGTCCATTATTAAGTTCACTAAAAGCTTTACTTGTGGACAAAAACTGCCAAGTCTACATTTTCCACTAAAAGTTCCCGTTTTCTTTACTTATCACACCCACTTTCCCAGTCTTGGCCCCCATCACTCCCAGTTGGCCCGTAATTCCTCCTCAATCGCTGTCATTCCCCCACTCCACACACAGGCAGCCCAGTCTCCGGGGACCTGGCAGACTCACACCACACATCCTCCCTTCCTCCCAGATCTCCTTCTCAATAACTGGCCTTGTACGACCTGACCTCCCTAATCTTCCTCGCCACTTGGCCCTAGACTTACCCCTAACTGGCCTTGTACAATCTGACCTCCCTAATGTTCCTCGCCACTTGGCCCTAGACTTACCCCTTCTTGGGAAAGGCAGCAATTGCTCGGGGCTCGTCCAGGCTGTTGTTAATAAGCACTTTTCTGCAGCTGCCATCCAGTCTGGCCACTTCAATGGTGTTGCGTCCTGTGTCCGTCCAGTACAGGTTTCTGGCAACCCAGTCCACTGCTAAGCCATCCGTCGTCTTCAACCCGTGACCAATGACTGTCTCCATGCTGCTGCCATTCAGGTCTGCCCGCCTGGGGGAATCAGTGCCAAACAGGATAGGGCATAAGAGAGCTCCTTATGAACCTTCGAGTTTCCCTATGCCACTCCTCTCAGTCAATGGGAACCCATCATTAGCACTAGGCCCTACCCCAAGCTCCCATTAAGGCTAAATGTGTCTTCAACAATGAGTTCAGTAACGTAAACGTGTTACTGTGTGCGCTCTTGGTGAGCATCACTACGTTCCCAGCCCGTTAGGCAGACACCACCTCATCCTGTTGCAAAACTCTGATCTATAAGAGCAGCTGACAATGCAAAGACTAACTTAGCATGAGGGGCTGGAAGCCCCTGGGCACCTACCTGATGACATCAAGGAAGACATCTGTGTAGTAAACCTTGCCATCCACGCTGTCATAGTCCAGAGAGATGACATTGTTCAGCTCTGGGACAGGGACATGCACATCGGTGTGATCGCTTGTGTCCAGTGAGATGCGCCGGATGGAGCCACGGCTGGAGAAGAGCAGGTATGTTTCCGGAGAGGGGTCACAGGTCTGCTCATCACTCTTCAGCTGGATACCAGTGGGGCAGGCACAGGAGAAGCCACCAGGGTTGGGTAGGCAGAGATGGGAGCAGCCACCATTCCTTATGCTGCACTTGTTAAAGCCTTTGGGAGAAAGGGAGAGGAAAAGTCAGCCTGACTCAATGTTTCCAGAGACCTGTGCCTTCCGTCTCTTTACAAGGCATGAACACACAACCCTCTGGCAGCTGATTTCATTCCAATCACATCATTGCTAGGACTATGATTGTAGGTCACCACAAAGGGACACCTACCCAAAAGATCAACTGCACCCTGCAGGGATCAGTGGAACTGGAGATCCAAGAGGGTCAGCCCCCTGGTATCAGAACATCCCAATGGAAGAAACAGCAAATGGCTGGTTTCCATTGGCTGGCTGAGGATTACGAGATTCTAGTTTAGCTCTGGAGACAGTTTAGATTCTGGAGACAGAGAAGGTGCAGTTTTTGCTACCGTAAAAGTGTCTTCTCAAACCAACACATTTCTCTGGGGTCCAATGCAGACTAGCTGTTTGGCTGTGTCCGAGAATGGGCTGCACTGAGTGATGGCCTCAGTACAAGGGGAGCAGGGAATGCAGGATCCCAAGACTGTGCTCCTGGGTAACTGGATGGACAATGGAAAGAGTCAGTTAAAGAAGGAGGGGCTGAAGTTGGAGAAGGAACTTCTTTTCAGCCACATGTGATGATCTAATGCTGCTCCAGAGAGCACGCTCAAAGACAGCTTCCAGAGGTCCCTCTAGTGATGATGATGCTCTTGCTGGAAACTCACCAAGGGGCTGTGTCCTGTCAACAGCCTGAATGTCCATCAGGCCAGGCAGGTTTGCCCTCACGAGGATTACGTTGGCGCCAGTATCCTTTCCAGCCCTGTGAATGCTACGGGTTTGCCAGTCAGTCCAGTAGATGTACGAGTCCAGCAAAGTTAGGCCATAGGGATGCTGCACTGGGGACAGCAGGGTGTGGCGGTTTGCACCATTCAGGTCTGCAGCCTCGATGCGCTATGGAAAGGGCAAAAAGGAGCACCCTGCTCAGTGCCTTCCCTTAGGCAATGTCCTGAGCAGAAACAAGTGTGTGTGAAGCTGGGACTGAAGCCCTCACAAGCAGCATGATTCCTAGTCCTCCATCCCCAACAGCCCAAGCCCACAGAAGCCTTCAGCCTGCTTCCACACAGCCCCTATCTCTTCTGACACCTTGCCAGGGGACTTCAGAAACAACCTCTAGGACCGTGGTCACCAACCTGTCGATCGCCATCGACTGGTCAATTGCGAGGCCTCGACCAGTCGTTCGCGAGGCATTCTGGGCCCCCCATTTCCCTCCACCCCCAAGAAGTCCCACTATCTACCTACAGCGACAATGGAGGTAGTGGTGGCTTCCCGCTGGGTGGATGGAAGTCCTGAGCTGCACGTCACTTCCGGGGGTTCTGGAAATGCGCTGGCTGCTTCCTTGCCCCAGGTCTCTGGTGTGCCGGGTGCACACTGGGACTTCCCTTCTCTGTGGGAGGGGGGGAGTTGGCCCCAAGGGGACATGTGCGCGGGCTTCCCTGCTCTGCGGTAGGCTCACACCGGCCCCGGAAGGCTTGCACCCTTCCTCCGCAGGGGGGAGGGTTGGCTCCGGAGGCATGCGCAGGTGCTTCCCTGCTCTGCAATAGGCTCACACCGGCCCCGGAAGGCTTGCACCCTTCCTCCGCAGGGGGGAGGGTTGGCTCCGGAGGGGGTGTGTGCGTGGGCTTCTCTGCTCCATGGGAGGGGGAAGTCAGGCCCAGAGGAGGCGTGCGACAGGGCTTCCCTCCTCTGCGGGGGGGGGAGGGGGGGCGGGAGGAAGAGGCTGGTGCAGGGGACTCTCTGTCCCCAGTGGCACCCTGTCCTCTGCTGCAGAACCCTGCCCACACTGGCACCCTGTCCTCTGCTGCAGAACCCTGTCTCCC